AAAAAACCTCAGTGGAGTCATTTTAAAGACATTTGCTACAATTACATAGCACCCATACTACCTAGGATATTTAAAGCAACTTTAAACCACTTGCTGAATATTGTTCACCATAAACATATCCCTGCAGTCAAACCACCATTGCTGGCTTAATATGGTTCACCATGATTCATCCCTGCTGTCAAATGTTGGCTTGATATGATTTACCATGATTCAGCCATGCAGTCCAATGTTGGCTTAATATGGTTCATCATGATTTATCCCTGCTGTCAAATAGTAGCTTGACATGGTTCATCATGATTCATCCCTGCTGTCAAATAGTAGCTTGACATGGTTCACCATGATTCATTCCTGCTGTCAAATGTTGGCTTGATATGATTAACCATGATTTATCCCTGCTGTCAAATGCTGGCTTGATATGATTTACCATGATTCAGCCCTGCAGTCCAATTTTGGCTTAATATGGTTCACCATGATTCATCCCTGCTGTAAAATAGTAGCTTGACATGGTTCACCATGATTCATTCCTGCTGCCATGTTGGCATAATATGGTTAACCATGATTTATCCTTGCAGTACAATGCTTGCTTGATATGTTTCATCATGATTCATCACTATAGTCCAATGACATGTATATTTTTTTATCTGAAGTACCAATAAAGAGTGAATTACAAAATTGCTGTGCTATTTTAGTCTGCAAAAGAATCACTTATACATTTACTTGTTTGTGTTTTAAATTAGTTTCTCAATGTGAATCAAGTGCCAATTACTGTGATCAAGTTAATATATTTTCCATCAATTAATTGGATAGTTTCAATGTAAGCTGGAAAAATTGTTGTTGATGGAATGTTTCCCCATTATGGAGGTATATCTTTTGTTAACAATAAAAATTGGTACTAGGGACATTCCATAAACTACATAAAACTAGAACTCCCCGAGTCGGATGTGTCGCCTTGTGAACAATGTAAGTTTCGGAGAAATGGCCAGGACAAAAATGAAATACGAAAACTAACAAAGGACAATAACTCAAAAACTAATAAGTGCAGAGCAGCAGTTTCTATGCACTGCACCACTTCTTATCAATAAGATCTATCATTCTATGAAGTTTCAAGTCCATATCTTTTATAATTTATGAGAAATGGCCTGGTCAAAAATAAAGTATGAAAATATATAAAGGGTGAAAACTCAAAAATAAGAAATGCAGAGTACCGGTCCTTGTACACTGCAATTATTTTTAATGAGATCTATCATCCTATGAAGTTTCATGTGTATAGCTTTCATACTTGAGGAGAAATGACCTGGACAAAAATAAAGTATGAAAATTAACAAAGGGCCATAACTCAAAAAATAAGAAATGCAGAGTACCGGTTCTTGGGCACTGCACTTCTTCTTAATGAGATCTATCATCCTATGAAGTTTCAAGTCCAAAGCTTTTATACTTTCGGAGAAATGGCCCGGACAAAAATAAAGTATGAAAATTAACAAAGGGCAATAACTCAAAAAATAAGAAATGCAGAGTACTTGTTCTTGTGCACTGCACTTCTTCTTAATGAGATCTATCATCCTATGAAGTTTCAAGTCCATAGCTTTTATACATTAGTAGAAATGGCCCGGACAAAAATAAAGTATGAAAATTAACAAAGGGAAATAACTCAAAAATTAGGAAGTGCAGAGTACCAATTCTTGTGCACTGCACTTCTTCTAAATGAGATCTATCATTGTATGAAGTTTGAAGTCCATAGCTTTTATAGTTGAAGAGAAATGGCCCAGACAAAATTAAAGTATGAAAATTTACAAAGGGCAATAACTCAAAAATTAAGGAGTGCAGAGTACCGGTCCTTGTGCACTGCACTTCGTGTTATTGAAAGAAGCATGCATACCAAGTTTGAAATCAATCCAACTTAAAGTGACTGAGTTATGCTCCGGACAAGCTTTAGGGGACGCTGACACCGACGCCGACACCACCGACGCCGCCGACAAAAGTAATCCCTATATGTCACCTTTTCAAGGCGACACGAAAAACAGTACTGCTGACATTTCATGAATAAATTACATTAAAAGCTGGTACTGGTGATGTTAGTAAACTACATCAAAAAGCCAGTAATTGTGACATTTTATGACTAAACTACATAAAAAGCTAGTACTGGTGACATTTCGTGGATAAACTACATAAAAAAATAGTACTGGTGACATTTAATGATTAATGTTACATAAAAAACACACATTACTGGTGAGTGGTGACATTTCATAAAAAAATACATCAAAAACCCAGTACTGGTGACATTTCATAAAGTACAAAGAGTAATTAGTACTGCTGACATTTCAAGAATGAGTTATATCAAAAAGCCAGTACTGGTGACATTCCAGGAAAAGTGTACTATTAAAAGCCGGTAAACAAGAGAAATTATCTACCCGTACTATCCAGTACTTGTAGAATTTCATAAAATAACTGTCTGAACTAGCTAGCACTGGCATCTGCTGTAATTTTGTGAAAGTTTTATCTAGCATTTATTGTACAATAAATATCTCCTTTTGCACTAGTATTAAAAGACACAAAAGGTTCAAATTTAGTTAAAACTTTCCATTTAACTATTAGGTCATTGTTTAGTCTGCCGGCAGTAACAGATTCGACCCATGTGACCAGTGCAGACCAATGGCAGTAACAGATTCGACCCATGTGACCAGTGCAGACCAATGGCAGTAACAGATTCTACCCATGTGACCAGTGCAGACCAATGGCAGTAACAGAATCGACCCATGTGACCAGTGCAGACCAATGGCAGTAACAGATTCGACCCATGTGACCAGTGCAGACCCAATGGCAGTAACAGAATCGACCCATGTGACCAGTGCAGACCAATGGCAGTAAACAGATTCGACCCATGTGACCAGTGCAGACCAATGGCAGTAACAGATTCGACCCATGTGACCAGTGCAGACCAATGGCAGTAACAGATTCGACCCATGTGACCAGTGCAGACCAATGGCAGTAACAGATTCGACCCATGTGACCAGTGCAGACCAAGATCATCTGAAATGTTCATGCCATCTGATCATGGACTGCAATGTTCACTATTCAGTAAGTTCATGTTTTAAATTTTCTTTAAAAGATCAGATATTTAGTGTGGTAACAGTTGCTAGGGTTGTCATTAGGAAGGGATTGTAGTACATAATTACTGTCTCAAATGCATTTTGGGCTGCCTCAATGCTTTAAAACTTAGAAATTTCACTTTGTTGTATGTGAGTAAACCAATATTACTGCCTCAAATTCAAGATTGACAATCCTGTAATATTTAAAGGGTTTAAAAAAGCCAGCTTGTAGAATTTCATACCAGTGTTTATGGGAGACTTGTAAATGATCCAAGTTTAGCTTGCTTGATTACTTTAATGGATTTATTTTAATGATATTTTCAGAAACAAAAACTACATGCAAATAGCAATATTTTTTTATTGCTAAAAAAATGATCTTTCATAATCTCTTGAACATACAATATTCACTCAAAGCTTTTTTAACCAGGTTTTCAATTTTGAAAATCCTGGTTATTAGATTGGGGTATGGCGGCGGATGGGCGGATGGGCGGCTGGGCGGATGGGCGGATGGGCGGGCGGGCGTCAAACGAAATTGTGTCCGCTCTGTAACTCTTCAACCCTTTGAAGAATTTTGATGAAACTTCAGACAAATGTTTACCACATCAAGATGACGTGCAGAACGCATGTTCCGCATGGCTGGCTCCAAGGTCAAGGTCACAGTGACATTAACATTGAAAATCCTGTCCGCTCTGTAACTCTTCAACCCTTTGAAGAATTTTGATGAAACTTCAGACAAATGTTTACCACATCAAGATGACGTGCAGAACGCATGTTCCGCATGGCTGGCTCCAAGGTCAAGGTCACAGTGACATTAACATTGAAAATCCTGTTTACATGATTTTATTTTTCATTATATAGAATATATAGTGAACAATTTCTTCTGTGCGCAACTCCTCCTACATTTCTCAACGGATTTTGACCAAACTTTCACAGAAGCTTTGTCATCAAGTGCCCTGACACATATTGTCAGGGTTTTGCAATTGGTATATATTTGACCTAATTTATGGCCCTTTGTTTTTTTTCATTATAAAGAATATATAGTGAACAATTTCTACAGTGCGCAACTTCTCCTACATTTCTCAACGGATTTTGACCAAACTTTCACAAGAAGCTTTGTCATCAAGTGCCCTGGCGCATATTGTCAGGGTTTGTGATTGGATAATGTTTGACCTTATTATGGCCCTTTGTTTTTTTTCCTTATACAGAATTGAACAAATTCTTCTGTGCTGAACTCTTCCTACATTTCTCAACGGATTTTGTTCAAACTTTCACAGAAGCTTTGTCATCAAGTGCCCTAGCACATATTGTCGGGGTTTTGTGATTGGATAATTTTTTACCTAATTATGGCCCTTTGTTTTTTTTCCTTATACAGAATATATATAGTGAACACTTCTTCTGTGCGCAATTCCTCCTACATTATTCATGTTTTACATTGCACATAGTTACATTGTTTGTTGCTTGTATTTGTATTTCAAATACAACATATTTATCTACAATGGTGATTATTGAAAACCTGGTTTCATGGCATTGCCATGTTTCTTGTTATTTTCTTAATATTTTTTCAGTCCTAGGAAAAAAGAAAAGAATTGCCACTGATAAAAAAATAATGTAGTAAATTGTTTAGCTTTCCAGTTGTTTTTTAAAGTCCTTAGATACTTCTTAGATACTTGTATTCCATTAAAATTATTGCATGTTCATTATTTTGATTCACTTTCGAGCACTGGTTAACAAACAAAGTATGATGATAAATTGTTAAGTTCTCAAATTTTAGTAAAAAAAAATTAAGTGCTTTGATATTTGATTACATATTGCATGTTCATTATTTTGAATCTCTTTTGATACACTGAGACCACTGAGATAAACCATAAAGAGACTGGAGTATATCATCAGTGAGTTAATTGATACAGGTATAAACGTGACTGACTCTATCTACAACTACCTGTATTGTTAGTGGTCCATTGCTACGGCTAAGCTGTCATTGAATTGGTTAGTGCATTCAACTGCATCATCAAGTAGTGAAATGTTTCTCCTCTGTTTTCAAATGGACAGTAATTGTCTGAATTAATCGTGTATTTTCCGCACTTACTGCTATCAGAGTGACAAAATCGACAAAATCGTTGTTGTGTGTTTTGTATTCTGACGGTCTCAAGTTTCTAGTTTCGGAATAGAAAACCGGATTTTGTTTTTTTTTTCCTTGAAGTTATAAACTGCCTGTAAAGTGTGGATTTAAGTGCAAGATTGAAGTTCTAGGTCTGCATTTGACACTAAGTCGTAGGTTTAAGTGCCGAAGGATTTTTTTCTCCAATACTATGATTGGAAATCCACGCTGCGATACAGAAAAGAACATTGTTTTCAATCCCGAGTTTGAGTTAGACTGTGCATCTAAAGTATAATAAAATTCTAGAAACTTTTTACACCTATATGTGACTGTTAAAAATTAAATAAAAATTTAAACGGTCATTTACTGCAGCGTGATAATGTGATGTTTTTTTAAAAGGATTAACAGTTATATGTCAACAGGTTTTTTATATGATAATATTTTCTGCCATAAAAATCATTGCTTACATAAGAATATTCCATGGAAACAGTTTCATAGAATAATCGTTTTAGTATTATTTGATAGCATTCTCAGATTAGAAGTAATTCACTGGAGTTTTGGATAACTTTTGATTGGATTTTTATCACATAGAATATTTCAATCTTGCATGGGGTAAGTGTATTTAATGCATTATTAATTTATCAGCGTTGTGACAGAGTACTAAGTTTAATTGAATTGTTTTAAATATTTATTACTAAATTACCTTGACGCATTACACTGTTTTAAAAGAACACAATTAAGTTACAATTTTAATTGGTAATCAATTATTCTAACTCAGATTTTGTTAGACTGTAATTGACATATCTATTTGAATTGTTATTCAATTTATAACCTTGTAAATTGGTAAAATAAATTGTAGAAGATGTTTTTTGACATAGCAAATTGTGATCTTATAGCCTAAAACTATCAAAAAAAAATTTATAATTACCAAAAAACAAAAAATTGTAATTTTATTCAAAATGCCCAACGCATGGGGAAGGGAATTATAGGCATGAAGTTGCACCTGTCCTTAAACTCTTGGACTCTCTCTATGACAATTATAAAATGAGCTAGACTTATTATTACCTCGCCAGTTAAGTTTATTGGCTTGGGCCTTAGTCTCAAATTTCGGACTTCGAGGGACTAACCAATTTACAAAACAATATATCAAACCGATGTGGGGCATCACCCAGGGCCGGACATTCGTTCTTTATTAACAGACAACAAAATTTCCTGGAGGCGCAACCATTGTGGGGGCTAGGGGCTGGGCCTTGTACAACAAGTCTAGGCTGAATATCGTGTAAAGCTGTGTGTATAAAACCTTTAAAAAAAAGACAACTGTTAATTATTCCAATCCTAAAGTATGACAAATTCATTATACAAGTTCAATGTTATAATAGTAAAAATATTTTGATATCTAATGTTAGATTGTGAGATACCTTTGTTCTAGGTCAGTCTCTTACACATATATAAAATAACACAACACTCCACTTGTACAATTAGTATGACTGGTTTTATAAGTAATCAAAATAATATTGACGTGCCAAAGCTTATAGATTCTGAGATATTTTCGGTCTGGGTCAGAATCTCACTTCTAGAGGCGAGATATTGCCCCAGACACAAAATAGCACAATATCTTGTTGGTTGCATAGAACAATTAGTTTTACTAGTTTTATAAGAAGTAAAATGAAGGTAGTTTTACCCGAGTGTCTTAATTTATTGGCCTTCAGTGAAGTATCAAGGGGCACCTGCTGTCTTCATCAACAAGGTAAGACCAGTACTGAGTCAGTATGACCCAGCAAAACAAAAACAAAATATAATTGTATGAAAGGAAACGTGTGTCCGTGTGTCTTGTCTCTTTGTTAGAAGAATAAGATGGAAAATACAGATGTCAAATTTGTAATGAAAAGAAAACATGGACAGATTCTCTAACCTTAAAAAAAATCAAGATAAATATTAATTTCCAACTTTATAAAAATTTTATTATTATACTTTGTGAACATTTAAATCAATATCAAAAGGCCCCCTCACCTCATCATATCCTACCCCCTCCCCCTATCGTTAAACTCTTTTTTTTTCTCTTGTTTTTTTTGTTAGCTTAATTATAAAACTGTTGTGAAATAACTTATGACTGGTCAGATTATTTAACAAAATTAATATAAAATGTTTGAACATCAGTATGTTTCAATTTAAAAAAACAGATATTAATATACTAGTCCAACTTATTGTACTGTGCAATGTGTCTGGAGCAAATTATTATTAATCTCGCCTCTTCAAGTGAGATTCTGACCCAGAATCTAGCTTTGGCACATTGAAAAAAAAAATTATGGGTGTTTTGCTATATAAATAAGATATATAAGACATGATATGTTCAACATTTGAATTAATTAAATAGCAATTATATTCATCCACTAAAACATTTGTTATATAAAATTTACATGCATATTTTATAGAACCATGACATGAATATTAGGCATTCTTACTCTTCAGTACTTAGACAAATAGACCGTCATTAAGCCTGAACAACATCAGAATGTACCATATTATATTATTCAATAGCAAGAGAAATAGAATCCCTACAAAACTACAAAATTGAAAAATGTTGCATTGAGCCTGTTCATGGATGGTACTGGAAATGCAAGTAACCGTCCATTCCCCCTAACACCGGCTTAAACACTATTCAACATTTACTCTTTAGCATTAAAGAGTTGCACTAACCCCTCAACATCTTATCAACTGTTTAATCATGCTATAAAATATGATAACCTTTTTTAAAAGCATAGAATAACTTAACTATTTAGGGTCAATTTAGATATTTATTCATTCCAAATTATACATTCTTCATAATTGTATTAATATTCTGCATAGTTTTTTTTCTTTTGCTTGAGATGGAGGGTTACAAAAATTTTAAGCATATTTTTTAAATTTATATCTGAGACAACTCTGACAAGCTGATCAATTGCTCATTCAAAACATATGAGCCGCGTCACGACAAAACCAACATAGTGCATTTGCGACCAGCATGGATCCAGACCAGCCTGCGCATCCGTGCAGTTTGATCAGGATCCATGCTGTTTGCTTACCAACTCTATTACAAGTAGAGAAACTGATAACGAACAGCATGGATCCTGATCAGACTGCGTGGATGCCCAGGCTGGTCTGGATCCATGCTGGTTGCAAACGCACTATGTTGGTTTTGTCATGACGAGGCTCATATGTTGTCTAATATTTACAAAAAAAGAAGCTACGTTCTACTTAGGTTTGGACAGTACTTAAAAACCCTTGCCAGCACTAAATTTGAATATTTATTGACTTACAGAGTCATATTAAGAATTTTGAATTCTCAGTACAGTGTGATTAGGGCTCTATTTTCGTATTCCAAATCCAAGGCAAGGAAAATCCATAGACTAAAAATATCACACTCAGACTTCCCCAATTACCATCCTTAACATTCAGAGTAGTAAAAATGTGAAAATAATTTGAAAGATCGCAGATGAAATTATTTATTTACATTTCGGATAATATTTCAAATTCTCGAGCAGTTTTCTTTTGCATTCTGAGAGTATATATTCATGAAAAAACAATTCCTGTGAAATGTGGGTAAGGTATTAGTTTGAAACATTTTACAGTACTTTTTTTGTTTCTTTTTTTGATAAATCACAAATAAAATTACCAGACTGAAAAAAGTAAAACATTAATTTTGTTTCCAGCCACACACAACATGAACATGTTACGTTTGTTTGTTTTCAAAAGAGATGCAGTCTATAGATCAGCTGTGATTGATTTTCAATATCGAGAAACTAAAATTACCATCTCTGTTTGGGATATGTGTTAAATGGACTGCAGAGACTACAGCTAAAGTCACTGTTCCATGTTGTCCTTCACCACGGGTTTTAATTATAGTCGGTGCCTTCACTTATGATCTGTTATATTTAGTTTCTAAATAATTTATGTTAGTTTGATTTTGTAGGAAGCTATAAGACTTAAGATAGCCCTACTTGGGTCATGACAATGTTTCTTCATATGATACCAGTACTGGTTAATTAGTTTATACAGAATTTATGTTACTTTGATTTTGTAAAAAGCTACACAATTTCTTGAACCCCTCTCTGGAACCAACCAGTACTGAGCAATTAGTGTGATGTATCTTGCTCAAGGTAACAATGACTTGGTCCCAAAGGGGGTTTGAACCTGCTCGGCCAGCAATCATTAGATGACTGTTCTGACATATGTTAACAATGGCCATGCCACCACTGTATTTGTCATTGTGTATAATATGGAAACAATATATATACATTTCTAAACATAAACATTTTTTAACAGACCAATTAAACACTTTTTAACATACTAATATACTTCTTAACAAACCTATATAATTTATGAACAGACCAATATACACTTCATTACAGTCCAATATTTCCTTCTTAACAGACCAATGTTTACTTCTTAACAAACCAATATACACTACATAACAGATAGATATACCTTTCTTAACAGTCCAATATACACTTCTTAACAGACCAATATACACTTCTTAACAAACCAATATACACTACATAACAGAAAGATATACCCTTCTTAACAGTCCAATATACACTTCTTAACAGTCCAATATACACTTCTTAACAGTCCAATATACACTTCTTATTTAACAGTCCAATATACACTTCTAAAGTTCTTAACAGTCTAATATACACTTCTTAACAGTCCAATATACATGTACACTAATACACTTTTTAACCGACCCATATACACTTTTTAACAGACCAATAAAAACTTTTTAACAGACATACTTCTTACAACAGACCAAAAAACACCAACTACATTTCATCATGATACATATGCAGGAAATACAGATGCTTTATTTTTCAAAAGGATTGAAAATTTTCATTCAATTCATTCAACAGATCCATGTCATTCTGGTATAGTACATAAAATTTGTAGACAGTGGCATGTAATCAGGAATGCTGTAAACTATTTTATGATTGTTCATTTCACAGGAAACCCCATAATCCGAGAAAGATGGGATTTTCATTGCAGTACTAAAACTACCATAATATAGAATACAAGAGAAAGGTTTTAGTTTCTGGCACAGATTGAGTCACATGAAGAAAGATTTATACTTTCATGCACTAATAACAGACATAGATTCCAGTGTTGAAAATTTCAGTGGAAAAATCATTACTATAAAAAATGATTTTTGTTTTTGGGACATTTGCTTTGACATGATGTAAAACCACTGTCATACTAGGGCGGCGTTCTCACGGCGTGCAAAGAAAATAAATTCAGAATGCCGTGGTGAGCGCGAGTAAGATTGCAAACATTGCCGCATCATCTCCAATTACCATCGTTGTGGCATCGCATAGAACGCCAAACAATGGCGCACATTTTGAGCATGCTCAAAACAAACACCGTCAAAGAACTCAATAGAAGAGCAGTCCAAATGCAAACAATCGCCAATTAAAACACCATGGAAGCTCCGTAGCATTGCCATGATCACTGTGAGGAAGCCTTGAAGTCTCCATGTCATCAAAAATATCACATTTTTTATTTTTACCTCAAGGTGCTTTGTTAAATTTAACAACGCTTTGCAAAGGCAGTGAAAGCGCAGTCTAGTGTGACAGGGCTTTTAATGCAAATGTTCAATTGTAACTACAGTAGAATCCCTACTTAAGACCAACTCAGATTTAAGACCACTCCACTATTAAGACCATTTTTTAAAAGAACAGAATTTTATGTCAATAGTTATATGTGGCAGTTAAGACCACCACGGTTATCCACTTTTAAGATCACCAATTCTTTGATTTATTCTTTAGTTTAACTCACTATTGAGACCACTGATTTTAAAGTAAACTCCTACCTGAAGATCACATATTTGTTATTATAAATTTTAGAGTTACTGATGTTTCCAGTCTGCTTTCAGGACTTCACTCCTAACCGAATTATTCTATATATATCTATATCTATATAATAAAATATAATGAAAATCCTAATGAGAATTGATAATAATTAAATTTCTTCAGAAAAAATGTTCTGCTATAGCTGATTAATTATTATAACATAAGCTATATTTATTTGGTAGGTTTAAGACATTTGTTTTGTTCATACAAAATTGCACTCCTCGAGTGAGACTAGGGTCATAAAGTATTTAAGCAATGATAAAAATATCCACAATTAAGACCACCCGACAATTAAGACCACTTTGGTCCAGTCCCAATGTTGGTCTTAATTGAGGGTTTTTACTGTACGTCATCCCAACCCTTGGAGAATGAAGGGGGACTAAAATCACCCTGTCAGTGAAAAATGTCTTGACTTGGCTATTACTTACGGCAGTTGTGACGAAGTTCAATATATATGGTTTTCAATTGTACTTAAGCCAGTGCTAGGGGGTGTGGATGGTAACTTGCACATTCCAACAAGCTCAATCACACCAAACAAGCAACATTTTCAATTTTCAATGCTACAAAGGTGTGACAGCACCATGCCACAAAGGTATGACGGCACCATACCAACTCACATTATATAATTGAATTCTATGGACCTTTAAAGTTTATGAACTGTAAAAAGCAGAAGTTTTATTGATTAAAAAAATATCCCTGTAAAAAAACAATCAAAGTGATTGGGTATTGCTCATTATTTTATGATTATTTTATCTTGGAAGTTAATTTAGAATTGATCTTGATTTGTGTATTGTTTTTACTTTCAGATTGCATGACAAGCTAGGAGATAGGGAGAATTTTATTCCTGGATTTTAGAGACAACAAGAGGCAAAGGTAGGTTTTCCCAGCTGAATTTCTGTACCACAATTTGATAGTTTATTGGTATCAAGTTGTGTTTTATAGTCACTTGAGATAAAATGTAAGTTTTCTTGAAGAAAGATATAATCACATTTGTGTTGTTTGAAACTTTAATAGCAAGGGGATTATTGTTTTGTTATTTAAGATTTAGAGAAGAGTGGTTGTAAATTCATATTATATGTCAAGTGGTATAAAAAAGTAAAAATTGTTTCATGAACAACTGTTCCCACTGATTTTATTAGTAGATTTGTATTATGAACTGATTTGTACTATTGATTTATGATAAATGAAATAAGATATGACATTGTAGCATAAAGGTTCTGGTCAGAAGACAAGAAGTGTGACTATTTTATAAAGGCCTGGCTCAAGTCTAGTGGCATACAAACTTACTTATCACCATTAATACTTGCCTTGCAATGCTCCTTGACCAAGGTTCTATGCTGCCTATTTTTATTACAGGATGTGTACCTTAAATGACTTGCCCTTCCTTCTCATATTTTTGCTTGTGGTTAATGAAATAAATTGCTGGACTTTTTCCCAACAGGAACTGATAAATTTGATTATTTCTTATATTTTGCTATAATTAGCTATAATTCATTTGCACTGTCTTTACTGTGCTTATGTGCCCTTCTTCTTTTTGTTGGCCTGCTTGGTGCCCAACTGTGATTGTGTGTTGCCCTAAATGTGGTTGCTTTTCCGATGGTCCTTTATGGTTCTGCGTTCATAGAATGTCACACTTGCTGATATTTTCAATCATATTTACTTTGATTTTGGTAAAATTCCGTAAATATTATGCAATCAGAAATCACCATTGTGTAGTTTAGAACTTTGTTAACATGGGCTGTCTGGTCAGGGTTTGAATGAGTTATCAAACCAGTAAAGTAAGTTTTTTCACAGCGTAAGTTTATCATTGGATTTCAGATTGTTTCTGGATAGGGCGATGGACACATATATATATATCTATCTCTCCTAATTGGATCTTAATTGGAGGGCACATGTTCTGTCTTCAGAAAGATAACATACTTTACTTTCCATTAACTCCTTTGGAAATTAATCTTATTGCTGATTTTGTCAAAGATATAAAAGATAAATACACAAGTTTTTGCTTTAACATGATTGTCTTTATAAATTTTCTTCAGTTTTGTACTTTCATATTGTTTTTTGAAGACCTGTTGATATTTGTTTAGATTTAGAATATTCCTCTAGAATATCCACTATTGTGATCTAGCATAATGATGTTTAAGCTTTTAAAAGGGCTTTCCTTTGTACAGCTGATTCTGCCTTTTAAAAATTCTGGAAAAGGGGGAGAGATGGCCCCTTTAAAAGTACTTAGCAAATCAAGATAAAAATTACATACTTTATTTATGACAGCTAATCATTATCAGACCTTCAGAGGAGTAAAGTCAATTTTCAACTGTATATAAAAGTATTGGAACCAATAATCCCAAAACAAGATTAAGTATAGGCCAACTTTGGCATTGACTGAAAATGTCTGGCTTATAACATAGTAATATGAAAAATCGTTTTATTTCTTATGTGATATATAATAATTATAATGAAATCATTTCATGCCTTAAACAGCAACATATTATGCCTCATGAACTATTTCATTTCTAGTAATGATAAGATTATAAAACATAGGGCATGTTCCTGGGACTGACAACAGATGTTTATTATTCTGACAGTCCATATCATTTCATATAACCCATGTAGTTATTCCAGAGTAGATTGCTCTTTTTATTGTCAGGCATTTAAAATGTTTGTGACAGGAATAACTTTTAGAAATGGCTGTAATCACCGGTCAACAGAACTTAACGACTTCCATTATTTCCTCTAGATGGTGATTATGACTGGAATTCTACCAGGACACTGGACATACTCATTTCTTTGCCCCTGTAATCATTTCCTCTTGGTTAACTCATAAATTCACTTTATAATTGTAACTGTCTTTATTTTAGTGTATATTTGGTCTCATCCTGGCTCTATGATAGAGGTAGACATTTCTTTATTGCTTTTCTTAAGCTGAAGCAAATTTATATGTTTAGTAAATTAAAGAATTGCAAGCCAGTCCTTTTGGTGGATAGGTATTTTCCCAAACCAGATCTCTAGAATTATTTAGACAGAAGTGTTCAACATTTACGAGGTATGCCCCTCCTCTCTTGTCTGTGCCCTTGTCTTGACTTCCAATTTTTGTTCTGTGCTCTGGTGTCAGTACCTTGCTAGTGATCATATGTAGCTTGCCTTTAATAATCATATGTACAGTGCATGTGATCCTATGTGGCTTGCCTATGATTCTATGTTGCTTGTATGTGATCCTATGTGGCTTGCCTATGATTCTATATTGCTTGAATGTGATCCTATGTGGCTTGCCTATGATTCTATGTTGCTTGTATGTGATCCTATGTGGCTTGCATGTGATCCTTTGTGGCTCAGTTATGTCAGGGCGCCTTGCCTTGCTGATCTTTGTTCCTCTATTTCAACACTTACTTACATAAGAGGTGGAATTATTTACAAACTATCTGTATTTCAACATGTACACTGTGAATAAAAAAGTAATGATACAATTAATTTTGTTTTCAAGCTATTTAAAGAAGAAAAAGGGGGTTTTGTTGATTTTGAAAGTTTCAGAAAGTAATCTCAGTTCTTATGCTTGGATACTCTCATTATGATACAAGATTAGAAATGTGTTTTATTGTAAGTCACAATTCATTAGCACTGTATTCCATTATTTCTGTACAATAATTACCTACACTGAAACAATTAACCATTAAACAATGCGGGGTAGACTGCCCAGGTTCACTAATTAGCTGCACTAATTGGATAATAATTGTTACTGGCATTGTTTTAGATTGGTTTGCATCACTTATATTGTTTATAGGTCTACTGGACTGGTTAACTGATAATTATATGACACTTTGTATTAATTTATACCAGTCTAGTGTTACATTTTGAATTATTGTGGTAACCATTCTGGAGCTAGTAAAGTCTCTGGTGGTCAGTAATAAAATAAGAATTTTGATCCATCAGTTTCCAGAATTGTTTTACATTTCTTGGTGAACCCCAATAAGAGAATGTTTCTTCCTTAAGGTGACAACGGAGTCAATTATCACTGAAAATACCTAAAATGAGATTTTTTGCTTAATAGATTTATCAACCTTTTCTGAACACATTCGTGATTTAATTTTGGAAGTAGTTAGTCCAAAAAATGTGTTTTTAAACGTTTTAAAACGGTACCTGTACCATTTTTATCTGCTATTCGCGTAACCTGTCAATTATCGATAACGCTCCGCCCCCTGTTGAGGCATCAATGAGGGAAATCGGTAGTTCCATATATGCGTGAATTACCGGTCCATACTGGTCCATACTACCCGTAATTCATGTATCGTACAAATACCGTACATCTTTTATTGAAATATCGTCTACCTTTTATTTAGCCTTTTTTTTATAAAAATAAGAAATTGTCGGCCAATGTACGTAACATAATGTATGAAACATAAATATATAGCGGCAAATCGCACGACCACGTGGTTGATGCTAAATATCCATATAATGTGTGAAAATAATTTGTCTGTCCCGTTAATCTGATAGATATTACATTGAGTTTATGGACTTTTTGTACGGATTTTCAAGGGCTTGCTTTACATTCAACCTCGTTTTCTAAACAATGTCAAGTAAAACAACAACAAAACAGACAACATTTTTATGTGAACGCCTATATGACTTGTGGTAATTTAAGGTGTCCCCTGACAAAATTTCTAAACCATTTTAGGTTGTCTAAGGATGATTATTTCTCTATGAATCAATAAAAAAGATAATAAAATACGAGTATATTAATCAGTGAATGCTTTGAATAAATTGTTCGCCCAGTAAATCGAACACAGTACTAATAAAACCTGGAACAAATTATGGAATTTATTGTAGTATCCCAGTAGAAACTGGATCTCTATGCCGTGCATAGATTGATTTTCATGATCATAGAAGTCAAGAAGGTCAGATCATAATGATCGAGTGATACCTTTTATTTCTATTAAAATATGTTAAGCATTTATATCAATTTGGAGGAAAAAATATATAATATCCGTTCTACGTGGACTTTAAAAGACCGTCAGAAGCTCAGTTTTTGTTATTTTAATTTATATTTTAACGGAATTTCATACACGAATACACAGACAGAGTGACACTGGTGTAATATAATAATAATGCGATGATAATAATAATAATAATAAACTTCAAAGTGAAACAATTAAATACCCCGCTACGTTCCATTTCCCCCCCCCCCACGAGTGCTCAAATTTTACCGAAAGTTCACGTTGACATGTTGCGACCGATATCAGACGGAAGGTAAATCACATTAAGATTTGAAGATATTTCTGTTATAAATTGATATTTATCAGCAACTTTTTAATGGTCAGATGTCACTGGGTCATAAAAATGTTGTTAGAGTATGTTACCGCAACTTGTGACCCTCTCTGGTGCGATATTTGTGTATTATGCAATTATTTAGCGTGAAACGTAGGGGTCCGAGAGAGAACAGCCGATTTATGACACTTCGTTTGATGCGGGTCGGACTAACTTTGGAATCGGCATAACTTTTTAATAATCAAGCAATTAACATGCGGTTTAAAGCACATGAAAGGGAATTCATTTACGGAGGGAACCGTGTCAGGGATTTTGTTTGCTCAATCAGCGACTTAATTATCTTTAATTACGTAATATGTATGGTGAAAAAAGTCGCATAAAATGTTTGACGTTACGTAATATTTTTTTGAGAAAGATAGAAAAAATTTGAGACAAGGTTCCCAGATATTATAAGTATGTTATTTCCAAAAGTTTTGATGACAAAAAAATAAAAAATAACTTTGATATGACGATTTAAAATTTTAGGATTTTTATTAAAAATTCAATCATTTACAAAGGCATTATTTTCAAATATGTTATTTTTTTATGATGATCAACGACATTAATGCACAAAGATT